TCAAAAGATAAATCCTTTCAAATATAGCTGTACCAACAAAGCAATCTGCTATAATATATCTAACAAAGTGATTATCATGGGAGCATGCTGAATTTCTTTACAGTCATGGTAAACAGACAAACAATATGAATATTTTAGTCAGGACTTCAATGGATAAACGTATCACTACAGCAAAAGAATATAATTTATTTACTATCTTGGTGGAAGACCACTTGTTTGGAACTGTACTAATAATCCTAGAGAACCCATGTTGCCCCCAGGGCTGCCCCATTGGCAAAGGATCATGGTGTCTGAGTAACATCTATCCAAAGTTGTGTGCTCAAACTTTTGGGTGAGTTTAATAAGAATAAATCTTCATATCTTCTTTGTTCGGGTATCTTCGAATTAGTGGGATGCTAGGTTGCTCGGTTTTCAAAACATCTTATAAAATCAATGTTAGAGAGAACGGAGACTTTAGAGAGATTTTTGTTTTTTGATTTTTATAGAGAGAAGAGTGTAGTGTATACATTTACTCTAATTGAAGAGTCTATGAATCATCATGGGTTAGCCTAGTAGTCAATAAGAGCCCGTAAATAATAAAAAGCTACAAGTTAATTTGGCAACTAAATGTTGTAGAGTCAGATGATTGTCTCATGAGACTTGTGAGATTGTGCAAGTTGGTTCGAACACTCATGTATAAGGGAGTCTGTGCTTCTTAGAACTATTGTAATTAAAAAGGAAAATTTAATTAAATATAAATTAATATGTAGTAGTTAACATTGAGCAAGACAAGGAGTTTAACACATTGTTAGCTAAAATCTCAGCAATAGTAAAGTGGTGCAAAAGTAGTAGCAATAGCACACGCCTCCTTAGTAGTAGGAAAGGAGAATCAAATTAGCACTCTACCTTCTCTCCAAGGCCTCCTTGATACCCGAACTACTAAGTAGGTTTCTTTTGGATAATGGAATGGGCACAATTTTAGTAAATAAAGTTTTCTAATCTAAAAGCTTCAATTTATGAAACTAATTAAATTTTGAGTGCAATAGAGTATAACAAGAGAGAATTATTGAATTCTTATGTAATTACATTGCATTCCTATTTATAAATTCTCCAAGACAAGGCACATATCAAAATATTTTTAAGAATGCTCGCAAAATATTAATGCAAAGTGAGATAAGGATTCGGAGTTGGCTATTTCTAGTGCTCATTCATGCTCACCTAATTACTTCCCTGTTGACTGATTTTTACAGATTACAGAGCACTCTTATCTCTTACGCATATGCGTATTTGCTACTAGCTATCTGCATTGTGTCAATGACATTTATGTTGTCTTAACCATACTTCTATTTCTCAAGGTTATATTAGCTTCTTTGGAGCAAGGTGTTCGAGAGGGCAGGGCTCTACTTCATGATTGGCTTGTAATTCTTACTGCCCAATACAATGATGCTTATAAACTCGTTCATTACAAAAATGGAGCTTCAGGAACTTCTCTGGTCGACGTTGCGTTCTCTCAGTGTCCGCAACTTCAATCTCTACCTCGCTTGGTATTTGCATTACTTAGGAACCCTCTCCTTCGTCTTCACGAGGAAGGTATCCACCCCGACTATCGGATCTACCTGCAATGCCTTTTCAGGTAATTTGTGAACATTTTATTTAGAAGATTGCCATTTGCATTTTATCTATCTTTGATAAATAAGAAAGTAATTGTTGGCGTTTTCCAAGAATTTTATGTAGACCTCTTTGAGATATATAGTCTTTTTTGTGCAATTCTAAATGGGAAGTAAGTCTTCAGATCTTATTGGTGAAACTGACTACTTGAAATTCAACCGATCCTCCGTTATCTTTTTTTTTTCTTGCAAAATGACTGAGGTGAATGAACTTTTTACCATAAAATGAAATCTCCTTAGCCTCCTTTTTAAATTATTATTGATCATGCTACTTAATTTGATATACACGATAATGTTAATTTGATGTCTTAGGTGTATATATTTTCTTAACCTACACTTGATTCAGTTATACTATTTCTTTGGTGGGGTATGCACTGATTTAGAAATTTGATGCAGCTTGATAATTTTGTGGTTAGCAAAAAAGCCATAAGAATATCATTTTTCATATATATATTAGTCTTCTCTCCCTCGGTTTCTCAATGTGACGTTGCCGTGTAATTCATGTGTCTTTTACTGGCGCAGTGCACTTGAACCAAGTTCCCTACATTGTGCCGTGTATCCTGTATTGGCATCATATTCTACTCCCGACATTCAAGCATATCCACGACACTCGTTGAGTCGTGCTGCACTGATTACGAGCGGCAGTCCGATATTTTTCCTAGACGCATTCACTACTCTAATTGTGTTCTATTCTTCCACCGCAGACCCTACACTTCCATTTCCTCCTCCTCAAGATTGTAAGATAATTATTTACCTTCATATGAAATGGATGTTACCTCAAAGTTCAGTTGATGTCTTTTTTTTTAACTTTGTCGTGCTGATTTTCAGGTTTGTTAAGAACTACAATTAACGAACTAAAACAAGAGAGATGCATCACCCCAAGACTCATATTTATTCGTGGAGGTCGGGATGATGCTACAGCTTTTGAAAACTATCTTATTGAGGAACAGGATGTCGATGGAAGCGGCCTGACTAGTGTCATGGGTTTCATTTCCTTTCTCGAAGATGTCAAGCAGGGCGTTTTGGAATATCTGAAATAGATTGCATTGCTTGAAGTTCATCTTCCATGGCAATCAAAAGCAGCAATACATGTTTAAAATGTCCAGGTATTTCAGCCACTCTTGGAATCCGCAATTGAGGTATCTATATGATGAATGTTTGCAGCAAATTTGTTTTTCCTCACGGCATAGAATTGAAGATCCTCATTGTGGTGGACACTACAAAAGATCATTTTCAGGTGCATACTACTTATTGCTGTATCTTTATGAAAGCCATAATTTTCTCGTCTGAACAAAAAAAAAAAATATAGATGTGAGACTAGTTAGAACTGTTTATAGATAAGTTGCTGTATTCGGATTGTTGAAATATTCAGTTGACTGGAAAAGTAACTAGTTCTTCTTCTATCTTTTTTTATAGATAAGTTGATAGGGGAATTTTATTCTTATGGAATAATTGATTTGCTTGGAAACATTGAGCTGTTTAAATCTATAAATGCAGGTTCCTTTTTCCATTACAGGTCTATGAGTTCATTTCCTGAGGATATAGTTTTGAACTTCATGGGTCGTTTACTTACATGAACCAATCAATTTATGTCTCAACTTGGGAGAGATAAAGATTGCTAAAGACTTTAACCAGATTATTTGCTGAAATTTTCTTTGATGACTGTTAATTTAAAATAATTGTTCTTTATGTCGTTTCTTAATATGTACTGCTTGTAAAGAGAGAACGTTTGTTGAAATGAATTCTTCTACTTAGAAGATTAGGTTGGGGGTGTTCTAAGATTAAACAAATATAGTCGAGCTATTTCTCTTTGCTTGGTGTCATAATCATACTACGAAAGAGAGTAGGTTGGTGTCACAATCATACTATGAATAGGGTAGGTTGTGACACTCCTGGTGTCACAACTATACTATGAAAGAGAAGGTTGCTGTCCTCCTTACTTTGCGACTAGCAAAGTAGTAGCCCTAAATTGAACAATTTTGTCATAACTTGATTCATATATCATCGGTTGCGGTTTGCAATAGAGGGATCTATATGAATGAGCACTTTCAATGAACAACTCTATCACATACTAAGAACTTGTCACACAACATGCTCGAATGTCGAACCCTCCTTTAGTTGTCATAACAACTTTCCTCAGGTCATAACCTTTTTTTATTTTTATACCATCGGTCCACAACTTGATTCATCTAACTTGTGACAAAGTAGTTAGACAAAGTTAGGAGGCTCAAAATTCAATACTTAAAGGTGTATGACTTAATTAACAAAGTTGATACTAAAATTAAAGGCTTATAATAGTGTGAAAACTATACGAGTTATTTACGAACCTTCAACTTTCTAAAATACGTTTTCAATTCCAAATTTGAAAATTTATAAGCCAATTCAATCCAACAATTTTGTCTCATCCAAAATCAATTTCAAAATAATTTAAACAATATATGGAATTCAAATTAAGCAATTAATTCAAAGTTAATTTATGAAATTCCATATAAGATCATGACATGGCAAAGCTGTCTAATTTGACAAATAATTAATTAATAATTAAACAACGCTTTTGACTATTATTATTATTATTATTATTATTATAATAGCAGTTGAGAAGTTGAGTTGTACACTACTTGCTTTTTCCATCTCCATGTTTTTAATGTTAAAATTTAGTTTTTAAGAGTACTTTAAATATATTTTTTATATCGACCTTAAATAATAATAATAATAATAATTTATATCTAAAAAAAATACACAATATACAAATATATTTATAACATTTATAGGGAAGATTAGTAATACCGTTAAATCTTAGTAATGTGTTTCAAAAATATTTTTGAACTTTTAAAAAAATACCATTTAACTTTAATAAGTTTTATTAATATCTTTTAATTTTTTCGAAAATTAAAAAATACTCTTATAGTTAGTATTTTATTTAAAAAATACTCATGAAATTTTAAAAGTAGCATTAACACCACGATTATTTAAATCAATACATAGACAAACGTTGACGAAGCGACATCTCTTGAAAATTTATGTTTTTTATAATTTAAAAAAAAGTTCAATTTTTTTAAGCATATTAACGAAACTTTTGAAAGTTACTTACTATTTTTTAAACTCTTGTTTGAATGTTTGGAGATATTTGTACGATACTTTTAAAACAAAATATTAATGATTTCGTATATTTTTTTTAATTTAAAGATATTAATAAAATATTTAAAAATTTAAGTTTTTTTTTTTTTTTATTAAAGGAGACTGTAAAATAACATAAAAAAAAAAAAAAAGAGACGAACAATTTAAAATTGAATCGTCCAAAATCCGCGGAAGCCATCAGCGTTGCGTATAGAATCCTTAGAATTCTATTTCCGTCGGTTACTAAGACGAACATTTGAAATAAATGATCGCAAAACCATACCCAAAATCCGCGGTATCATCTTCAATCCAAGAACCTAAGCAACCGCGTATTCCATAATTCCTCTGCAATTTCCCCTTTCCTTCCTCTTTGTTCCCCTGTTTTCATTTTAAATCCCACCCAGATTCTCATCGGATAAGCATCACAACTCGCTTTTCCTGCCACCGTTTCAGATTTCATCCTTGAAAGAGAGATCCCAGATTCGAATCCTTCCCTGATTCAATTTTATTACCCATTTCCTCTCTTTTTTGGCCATCAATGGCGTCTTTCTTTGGTAGATTCACTTCCTATTCCAATTCCAATTCCCATTCCCATTCCCATGCCCCATCGGCGCCATCAGCACCGTCCGAACCGGAAACCTACGGCCATGGCAATTCTCACGGGACAGCTTCGCCGTATTACTCCCAACAGCACCAGCCGCAGCCTTATGGGTCTAATTATGGTGGGGTTTCTTCATATGGGTCTTATGGCTTTCCGCCAGGGACAAGCCCTGAGGTGATTAGGAGCTTTCAAATGGTGGATAAGGATCGAAGTGGATTCATCGATGAGAATGAATTGCAGGAAGCCCTTTCTTCTGGCTACCAGAGGTTTAGTCTTAGAACCGTTCGTTTGCTCATTTTCTTGTTCCGAAATCCGATCGATTCCTCCAGAATGGGTGAGTTTCTTCTTGTTTTTTCTCTAATTTAATCCTCTTGGTATTTTGTGGATAATTGGTGCAATATTGGGTTTCTAATAAATTTTGCAATCATAATAAGTTATAATCGTTCATTAGGCATTAATCTGTATATGTCTCTCCTTTTGGTTGCCTTTCTTGGAAGTGAAATGTTCTGTTTTGTGTTCTTGTCCTCTCTCCTTTAAAGGAATGTCGACCATGAACATAAAGTATTTGCCAATTATATTCAACTTGTTCTTAAAATATTCAAACATCGACTAAGTTTGGTGGTGCCTTTTCATTTAACGTGTGTTTGAATTGGCTGTTGCAGGGCCTAATGAGTTTACAGCTTTGTGGAACTGTCTTGGCCAATGGCGTGTAAGTAATGCGATTACTCTCTTCTTCATTTTGTATGTTAGGAATCATGAACTTCTACACCCGTATGATATTGTCTACTTTGAGCATAAGCTCTCATGGCTTTACTTTTGGTTTTTCGAAAAAACCTTATATCAATGGAGATAGTATTCTTTTTACTTATAAACTCATAATCAACCCCTTAATTAACCGACGTGGGACTCATCCTCCCCTCGAACAAAATACACCATAGAGCCCACAAACAGCCTCCCCTTAATCGAGACTTGACTCCTTCTCTAGAGCCCTCGAACAAAGTACACCGTTTGTTCGACACTTGAGTCTACACCTTGGAGGTTCACAACTTCTTTGTTCGTCATTTGAGGATTCTGTTGACATGGTTAAGTTAAGGGCATGACTCTGATACTTTGTTTAGAATCATGAACCTCCATAATGATATGATATTGTTCACTTTGAGCATAATCTCTCATGACTTTACTTTTGGTTTATCCAAAAGGCCTCATATCATATTATATTCCTTACTTATAAACTCATGATCAACCCCTTAATTAGCTGATGTGGGACTCCTCTCCCCTCCCAACAGCGCACCCACAGATGGTGGTAATGAAATTAGAACTTCCGACTTGAAAGTAAATGATTGGTTTCAAGTTTCATTGTGAGCTGTTTTGTGGATATAGAATTGCTGATCAATAGCTTGTGATGACTATTTGAATTAAAACTATGATAGGATTAAATACCAGAGAAACATTTCAGTTCATTCAATATGTTGAAGCTAAAACTGTGCTAGATGCACATTTAGTCGTAGTAGTCAGCTTAGACGCGATTCGTGCGAGTCCGCTTTCTTTTTGAAGAACATCTACCATGCCTTGAATAGCTTACTACTTTCGGTTGTGGCCCGCCTCATTGACTCATACATTCCCCTAATGTACGTACTACTCTCCCTTCACTATAAAAGATCAATACTCAAGCAAGATGCATTCTCCTGAACCTTCTTGCTTGTCCCTATTTATTCTTTCACTCGGTAAATAGATATCTTTCACTAATAAGAATCTCCGGCTCACCCAGCACCTATTAGTTCAATTCTTTTTCTTAGATTTCGGAACACTCTAAATAAGAGTATGCACTCAGATCAGGTAGGTCCATCTACTTCCGCACAATTTTCCCTTTTTAGGTGCACCACCCATGTATGTGGTTTATCCCCAAAGAGTTCTCGAAACTTATATGATATCTTAGTTCAAAACTTGGTTACTTTTCTTTCTTTCTTTTTTGGTGATTTATTTCTTCATGATTATCAATATTGTGCCCTCTAAGACTGAGAATGAATACGCAATTTGCAGGGCACCTTTGAGAGGTATGATAGAGATAGAAGTGGGAGAATTGATGCACTGGAAATGAGGGATGCACTCTATGGTCTTGGCTATGCAGTTCCTTCTTCAGTCCTTCAACTTCTAATTTCACTATACGATGATCGAAGTGGTCGTCGAGTTGAATATAATTTCGACAGTTTTGTCGAGTAAGTGTGTCAAATCGTTAAATACTTATCGCTTTTTATATGCCCAAAAGCCTTTGATGCTTACATTTCTGGTATTGTCTTCTTTTTCATTGCAGGTGTGGCATGATAGTAAAGGTGAGATTGCAGTCCTTTTATTACTCCCTAATTCCCAATATCATCACGTTTACTCGACCATATAATACTATAGATCGATCTTGTCGAAGTAGTCGAATATCACTTTATATGTGTGAACCAATGCCAAGGAGTACCGCTCTTTAAGTAAAACTACAAGTGTTTTGTTCATGGTTACCAGTAGTTTTAGTATCATATTGTTCGTGAGAGCACATGCTTTCAAATGTAATATCATTTCTAAACCAATGCTTGAAAAATTGCAGGGGTTGACCGAGAAATTCAAGGAGAAGGATAAGCATTACACGGGTTCGGCAACGCTTACATACGAAGATTTCATGTCAACTATCCTCCCATTTCTTGTGTCATACAGTTGAAGCCCTCAAAGGTGATGAATATATATGTCTTTATGGCTTGAATTATGTGTAGTATCATCTCTTCATTTGTTGTTTACTTGAAATGGTAGAAGCTGTACATTCAGGGAAGCTGCTGTTTATGTTGGCATGAGAGAGCTTCCATGTACACATATTATATTCCTTTCATCTTTTTTGTTTCTTCTGTTTTGATTCTGCTGATTAGAATTTTTTATTTGTTGGTTTGTTTAGATTATTTGTGACTGATTTTAATAAAGTTTTGGAGCTTGTACAAGAATATGAAGGAGTGTATTGCTATGGTTGGTTTATTTGAGAGAGTGCGCGTAAACGACATGTATTGTTATCGTTGTCAGCTTCACAATTTTATAATGCGTCTGTTAAAGAAAGGTTTTTAGACTTTTATAAGAAATGTTTTGTTCCCATCTCCAACTGATGTGGGATCTCACAATCCACCCCCCTTCGGAGTTAGCATCCTCGTTCGTACACTGTCTGACATCTGGCTTTGATACCATTTGTGACAGCTTAAACCCACCGCTAACATATATTGTTTGCTTTGACCCATTACATATCGTTGTTTTTGTCCCATGGTTTTAAAACCCATCTGATAGAGAGAACTTTCTACACCCTTATAAGAAATGGTTTATTTCCTTCTCCAACCGGTGTGAGATTTCACAATCCACCCCCTTTAGGGCCAGTGTTCTTACTGGCACACTGCCCAATGTTGGGCTCTAATACCATTTGTAATAGCTCAAGCTCATCGCTAACCTCTATGGTTTGCTTTGACCTTTTATGTATCGCCGTCAGTCTCACGGTTTTAAAATGTGTTTGATAGAGAAGTTTCTAAACCCTTGTAAGGAGTGTTTCAGTCCCCTCTCCAACTAATGTGGGATCTCACAATCCACTCCTTTTCAAGACTAGTGTCCTTGCTGGCACACTGCCCGATGTCTAGCTCTGATACTATTTGTAACAGTTCAAGCCCATCGCTAACATATATTGTCTGCTTTGATCCATTACGTATCGTCGTTACCCTCACGGTTTTAAAATGCGTATGATAGAGTGAAGTTTCTACACCCTTATAAGGAATGCTTTGCTCCCCTTTCCAATCTCATAATCCACCCCCTTTAGGGCTAGCATCCTCGTGGGCACATCGTTTGATGTCTGGCTCTGATACAATTTGTAGCAATTCAAGCCCATCGCTAACATATATTATCTGTTTTGGCCCATTACATATCCCCGTCAGCTACACAGTTTTAAAATGCGTTTATTACAAAGAGGTTGCTACACACTTATATGAAATGCTTCGTACCCCTCTCCAATCGATGTGAGATCTCACAATCCACCCTCCTTCGATTGCTACACACTTATATGAAATGCTTCGTACCCCTCTCCAATCGATGTGAGATCTCACAATCCACCCTCCTTCGAGGCCACCGTCCTTACTATACACCGTCCGATGTCTGGCTCTGATATGATTTGTGTATCCCAAACTCACTGTTAATAGATATCGTTCACTTTGGCCCATTATATATTATCGTCATCCTCACGGTTTTAAAACGTGTTACGTATTATCGTCTGCCTCACGATTTTAAAATGAGTCTGCCAGAGAGAGGTTTCTACATAAAGAATGTTTAGTTCCCTTCTCCAACGTGTGGAACGTTGAAGGTAGTTGAGTAGTAGATATTAATTTGGTCCCAATATTCAACCCACCAAGCCAATTGGACCCAACATTCCAAATTCAATCTCTACTACAGCTGAATGGTAGGGCTATTGATTTATTCTTCAAAGCATTTCATGAGATCAAAAAATAATGAAAGGATAATAATTAGTTGATTCCTTCTGGTCGGAAAGTGATTCCCATTATCAAATTATATAATAATTGTTTCATAGACATTGCAATCACAACAACTTTTTTGTCGGAATAATTTCAAAACAAATTCGTATGTAGAAATTTTATATAATTTTTTTTAATTTATATTTAAAATTATACTTTTGAAGAATGAAGTAGATATAGTTATGTAGGAGGTATTTTTTGACAATGAACCCTTCACGACTTGCTCAGAGTTACGGGGATATCAAGTCTAGATTCTTAGATCGTCCGATTCCGTTAAGAAACGAAGGAGATCAAGAGGTAAAAATTTTAAATTTTGTTTCAATTTTTCCCGAGATTCGAGAAGATTTCTTAGAGTTGGGTTATAAATTTTTTGATATGTTGCTCTAGTGAGGATTTCACACCGGTTTTGTGAAAGAATCCGGAGTTGAATCGAACCGAAAGTTAGAATTCCAACGAATGTCAAGAATTGTAAGTTATTATCAATTTGGCCACGTGTCAGCAATAGGAATTCGGGAATAACTCGCGCGTGCCTCAGTCAACCCAGAACCGAGGCTCGCTTGGCTTCATGCAACACAGGAACGTGCCAAATGAACCGAATGGTTGACCCGTCCCACACATATCCCTCCTTGCTGCGTGTGTGAATTTGTGTGTGTTAGCTTGTCCATCCTACACTGAGGCATGTGAGCCCCTCTTTTCTTGCCCATACGACCACTGCTGGTCAGTTTTTCGTCCTAATTTTGTTACTAACCCCAATTTTATTTGAACTAGAAACCTACTAGAGAAATTTCATTAATTTTAGAGCTCATAACATGCAGAAAAGCTCAAGAAGACACGTGTCATCCATATAAGTAACAAACAGACTTTAGAAAAGTAATACTTGTACGGTTTGCTAGGACGGGTTCGCTAGGACGGAGTAGCATGTGAGCATATCTTGTCTTAGGTTGTTAGAAAATATACAAATAGGACTCGGAATGAGCAAAGTGGATGAGAATGTTATGTATACTATGAAAAATAACCAAAATGCCCATAGGATAAGAATTTTCGATGCATGTTTATTTCTATGTTTTCCGCTACGTTAGAATGAAGGATGAGATATTGTGATATGTACTCCTAACGATTGATGGATGTTATCTCCCTTTTAAGAAACTAGGATATGGATAGGAAGAAGAGGAAAGAACAAAAACGTACAAACCAACGACGGGAGTCTAAGATTGGCTAAGAGTTCTTCACAAGAAGCCGTCACTGGATGGAGGATAATTCTAGGCGTTCAGGTCGTCCTATTTTGTCAAGAACCGAGAAAGAACAGAGGTTCGATCAAGAAGGGTAAATGTGAGTTTTCTGTCTAAATTGAATGCTTATATTTCATGTGGAGGATAGTAATAAATCCCAAGGAAAGAAAATCATGTTTAATAAGTAGGATTAGAGCTCTACCATGTTGGTGAACCAAGTTGATTCAAGTTTTGTGTAATAAGATACACAAATGTACGGAAATTTAAACGGAATCGGAAACTAACTATTTTCTAGAAAAAATATTTAGGGAAAAGAAGACTCGTGACATGTGTCAAATGGCAGGCGACGGAGCACGTCTTGCCTAGTGGATGACACATGTCGGGCGTTGAATATAAAAGTGCTTTTGACTTTAGGAAGAGATGCATGTCGTAGATCAACTTGACCCGATAGGTATTCGACCCAAGATCTACGTAAAACCTGAATACCATACAACTAACTCGAACCAACGATCGACTTGTTGACCCAGCTGACTTGACTCTCAACATGGTTAGAACTTCAAAAGGGCGTTTTTTGGATAAGTATTCTATGTGTGTTAAGGAAAATTATCGAAATGCCCCTATAATGAGATTATGAGATGCATGCTGATTTTTATATTTACGGGCGAGCAAGGAAGGGAATATGCACGATAGAACTCAAGTAAGAAAAGTTGGTAAAGTACCTAATGCACGATGTGGATAATGACCAAAATACCCCTAATGCTATAATTGAAGATGAAATATTGTATTCTATGCTCTGGGTGGTTGATCGATGTCATCTCCTTGTTGAGCTTGTATGTTTACCTCTATGTGCTTGATTGTGTTTTCTCCCTGTAGAGCGCGTTTATTTGCACAAAACTAAAACTAGAGTGTTAGAATTAGGTTGGTTAGACAATTACCTAGGTTAGAACGTAAATTGAGCACCTTAGGATCGTGAGTGAGAGTCAGAGAGTCTAAACCGTAGTTCTCCCCGACTAAAAAAGAATTGAGGAGTTAGATTAGAGTACCTTGGAGTTAGAAGTCCGCGTTAAGATACCTAACTGCCTTAAGAAACTAGTAGACCTCATTGGCACCTAGAGATGACCAACGTCATATTTAGAATATGTGTCTTTTGTGCTTTAGGTGTTCGATAGGAATATCTCCTTAACAATCATGCATGAGCGAATCAAGTTAAGATTAGGGCGCTACAACTAGAGCGGTTTATAAGTTGATCTAGGTCAATACTTTTTCAATAGACCATGCACTCCAAGATCATGAGCAGCGATTAGAGGTCTAGACCCGAGTTCACCGAAAGATTAGATTAGCTCTGTGAAGGGTTGTGAACTAACGTTCTATGGATGATGATGTTCAAACTAGCTAGATGTCATACTATCTTAACAGATTTCATAAGGTAGCACCTTAACCTAGGATACCATACGTTAAATACTGTTGGGAATGCAAGCTTACTAAGTCATGAGATGCTCACCCAACAATAGAAATTAGACCCAAATTTCATAGAACCAAGAGAAAAGTCAATAGATACCTATTAGGTGAGGGATGCAATAAAATACTACGTTGCTTACCAAGTATTTTTTCACTTACTCATTTCTCCTTATTAACTTTGGTGTTCATATGCTACCGATCGAAGTGGGAAAGCGTTTAAGAGCGCACAGTCATAGAGGAGGTCGTCCTGGAGTGTTAGTGTATTTTGGGCCTTATATTTTGTTTGCAATTATATCCGAAACCCATTCTCCATTTGTAATAAACTCAAACAACATACATCTATTTGAAATTCGATTTGGTTTTGAATTTTTAATCTGATTTAAATTTTATCGTGTTTTTATACACAATTTTATTTGCTTTTATCTTTATTTTTTTAGCCACAATCCAAGATTCGAAGTCTCGACGTCTCTAAAGAAATTAAAACATTTTCAGTCTGACAAATGGTGATATCTCATGAATATGTATGGAAAATATCAACAAAAATATACCCAATTCCTTTATTTGGAAGCCACGCAACTCCGTTCCCACACCTTCCTTTTGAAAAAGACAGTCACCGCCTTATCGAAACCATTCAAAACTAACAATCAAACTTATCGGCAAGGAAAACAGAGGGCCACCCCAAGGAAGCTGACCCTCATGGGATTCAACACCATCAAATAAACAGGTAAAATCAGTAGGCCCCGCCAACAAGGAGATATCAAAAAAGAAAAGGCGTGTGAGATTACTCAAAACTGTTCAAAACCTTCCCCAGATGGCTACTGTTACCAGTTTCAAATTGGGCTGCTCAGATATGTGTTTAGTTAAATGAAATGATGTTCATACATGGCTGCTTCAACAAGAGATTTCAGGAACCTAACCCCAAGATTCACATGTAAAATAAGAGAGAGACATGACTGATGCAGACACCCATTATTTATCATGATGAAGATAGGTTCTTGTGTTTTGGATATCCCATTGGAGGAAAGAGAAGAGAGACCTTACTGATTTCAGATGGTCCATCTCCAAGATTAGTCCTTCCGTCTCCCCATCTCCAATATTGAGCTTTCATGGCTTTGCTTTGGGCATCCTTAAAAGGCCTCGTACCATTGTGGAGAGTCGTGATTCCTCACATGGTATCATGTTAGGACCTATATAGTCCTCGAACACTGAAATGGAGCTACTGAAATGGAGCTGCAAAGAGAAGAAAAAGAAAAAAAGGAAACTGCTCTTCTGGAGCTCAATATTTAGGAAGCTTTTTAATGAAATAATAACACTTTATTGCTGTGTGAAACTACAAAAATAATCTTCAAATGTACCAAATTGATGATGAAATAGAAAGTAAATATATAATACAGATGGTTAGTTAAATGCAGCATCTGAAGGGGACTTTATGCGCGGCTTCTCTATAAAACTCTTCAGGCTATGAATAAGAATTTCTATCTATTTCTGGTATACCTCTACTGTTTCATAATTGATGGGGAAGATCTTAACTGTAGATTAAGCTGACTAGGAATATCAGAAGCAAGCTGAAAACTGAGAAAACCTGAAAATAATTATTTACGAGTTAGATTTTTGAACAAGAATGTAGAAACAACAATAGGAACTTCGAAACATAATGACTGGCTCTTACATTTCTTTTGGATGATGAATACAACAGCTCTGGGAGATACCCTTGCAATCCAATGTTGTAAACTGGTGTGCCATCAGGATAATAAAGACCATAGTTTCTCTCAGATGCTGGACCAGGCTTCAAATTCTCATTGAATAGAGCAAAAACATAGATATCGATAGGAATTGATGGTTTTGCCGGGGTTCCTTGTCCACTCTGTATTCTTCTTAGCAAATTGCCATTATACAATCCAGCGTTCTCTGGTGTAGCACCAACCTCGTTCGGATCACCCCGAGATGGCCAACCGGTTTCGGAAATCTGGACTTGAATATCTGTATGCCCCAATGCTTTGATGGCGGCATAAACTGCATCGATTTGGGCATACAGCATATTGTCGTATTGCAAATTTGTGATGGGATCAGTCATCCCTTGGTTAGGCTGGAAAAGCACATACTCTAGGGGAACTTGGCCAGGGTTATCCTTGTATGCAAAAAAAGGATATGCGTTTATAAGGAAAGGAGATTTCGCCATTGAGTGGAAATTGAGTATTGGTTGCAAGTATTCAGTGAGATCTGGCCTGAATGACCCTGCCGACGGAGGGAAAGAGTTGGCTAAGATGTTAAGGGAATGAGCCGTGGTGACAGAAACCTGCTTATCCAGCCCAAGATTAACAAGAGCATTATGAACAGATTGCATTGCAGGAAGAAGATTAGACCTTAATTGAGAATCATTAGAAACGAAAACTTCATTGCCAACAGTGATGCAACTGATTTGAGTCTGACTGATGTGTGTTTGAACATGCTGTTGAACCCAAGCTAGGGCTTTCTGAGGATCGGTCATGTTCTGGAGATATTCATTACCAAGTCCTATAATGAAGTTCACATTACTACTGGAGAAGGCATACAGGACATTAGGATCTGCATCGTACAGTTTTACTCTGCTGATGTTCAGACTTTGGAGAAGAGTGACGACGCGCGACGGAGACGGTAGATTATTAGCGATTTGGCCATAGTTTATTCCAATTCCAACGCTCAGAGTTCGGATTACTGAATCTGAAATGAAACACACGCCGAATTAAAGCAGAGCTAGAGTGTTCAGAATCCAAATTGTACCACAAGAGAAATGAATCTCAGCGAGTTCAAATCAATTCAAATTCCTAATCGAAAAATTGAAAACTATTAGATCATCTCAATTTCACAAATATTCTCTGGAGAAGAGAAAGTCCTAAAAGACAGAGAATATGCTACGAAATGGAACTTCCTACAACTAATCGGCAAAAATCCAGAGGAGAAACCGAAAGAACAAAAAAAGAAAACCAGAAAGAATCACCGTCGTCTACAACTAACTAAATTAAAGAAACAAACACAGAATCACATTCAATAACATATTCACAACTCCAGTAACGAAAATTCCAATGTTCTTTCCCTAATTACGGAATGAAAACGAAGAAAAACAAGTTCCAAAGCATTTACAGAAGTTCTTAAGCAGGCAAGCAAAAAGATCCAGAAAGCGAACCAGAAAGAGTGAAAAGCAGCAACAGAACTCGGAAGAGACGGTGGACGTTAGCCATGAAAGACTAAAAAGATAAAGCCAAACTGACAAAACACCGCTGTGCCGCCGCGTCGACCTCCGGCACAGCCGCGAATCAGCAGAGAGAACGATCGCCGGCGAGAAAATGGGGAGTTGTATTTCATAAAACTACGCGTTTTATAGGAATTCGTAGTGGAAAGCTGCCTCTCGCTCGTGGTCTGTTGGAGGGACGGTGCAGCCGCAGCCGGACAGCATTTATTTGAATTATTTATTTTAGTGATTTCTTAAAATAATAAAATTTCTAATTTATTTAATTAAAATTAATATTTAATTGGTTAATTTCCTCCTCCCCTTGCACGGATTAAACTCTTAATTCCATTTCACATTGCTGGCTGCTTTCATACATTCACTTTCAATATAATATTCAAATTTTCTCCTAATAAAACAATTAATATTTTAATTTAAATTCTAAAGGACTGTAATTAATTTTTTTAATTGTATTTCATATATATATATATATATAATATTTCTTTATAGAAGAAAATCATAACAAATATAATTAAAAATTGTCCAATTATTAATTTGTTAACATATTTTTAAGTTATAATAATTAATAAAGATAACTAATTACTATATAAAATTGTTAATAATGTCAACTCGTACACACAATTTGAGCTCTAGCTTAAAAGGATAAAATCTCTAAAAGCGCGGAAAATAATGACATAATAATGATGTAAATAATCAAATTCACATAAAATAATGGCAAGTTTCTCCCATTTCGAAGTGGAAGTCATGCACAAAAAAACGTTACATATCAAATTTAGTGTTCATATGAAAAAATGGTAACAGGTTACGTAATTTTTAGAGATTTTGAAGTAACGTTGACCAATAAATCACAACTCTAATAATTAAGTTACTATTTTTGAAAAAGATTTTGAACGTTAAATTTATAACAACGGTTAGTGTTATTAAAGAGTGTAGTTATGAAAATCAATTTGAATGAAAAAGTGGTTCGTTTTGGATTCTCTTCTTCAATCAAAATCTCCCCTAGACCCTTCAAAATTATCCGAGAACCCAAAAATTATAAAGGAATCAATCTAAGGTAAAGTTTTGGAACGGATTATCTTGATGATCAAGATCTAAAATAAAGAAAACTCGTTTATGTTCTTGTGATTTAAATCACTCCACAAAATAGCTTGAACAAAACTACTTGAATAACTATAGCATGCAGATATATATATACAGTTAATTCTTAAATTAACCATTAATATCATACTTAAAAAATACAATAAAATCTCTGATTTTGTCGTCTATGACATGATTAAGACACATTATTTTGTATTATAAAATATTATTAAATATAAGAAAAAATACCATGATCATGCAAACACATGCATGGTAGAATTAAATGGATTATATTATATATATTTAATTAAAAATGAAAAGGGTTGGATATATTGCCAAATTAATAATTTATTAAATGAAAAATAAAAAGAAAAAAGGAAATACAAAAAGAGGTAGCTTTTTGGGCTTCTTCCAATTCCATTATCTTTTTTTTTTTTTTTTTTTATGAGAAAGATTCCATGCCCGACACCTGTCAGTGTCCCCACATGCTTGTCCTTTACTGCTTTTTTTTTCTTTTTTTTTCTAATAATTAATGTGTTGCTCTAATGAATTTTTTTTAAAAAAATTAGAAAATTAGAAAATATTTTTTTTAAAAAAATGAAGATGTAAGAAACCTTTTTACACATTTATGTTTATTCTAAAATTTGAAAAAAAAATAAGAAAAAAGAATTTGGAAAAATAGCCTCGAACTTTGGAACGCAAAATTAGTCTAAAAATTGAAAAAAAAAAAATTACATAATTAACTCCAAATTTCAACCGTAAAGAAATGGTTTAATATGACCCTCTTTAACCATTACTGATTGCAAAAATACTTTCAAGTAAAAATACTTTCAAGTTTACTTGTGGTACTACACATACAAACACATCGTGCTTCATTGGTTTTGTCATAATATCTGCCATATTTCAGTTCAATAACTCCATCTCTAGTCAAATCACGCAAGAAATGAAACTAACCCTCGTCATCCACACCCCTTGACAAGCACAAGAGGCAGCACCCACAAGCTTTGCTTTAATAGTGGACAAAGTAACTACAGGTTGTTTTCTGGAGCATCAAGACATAGCTCCATCACCGAGTAAAAACACATAACTAGAAGTGATTTTCATGTCATCTATATCTTCTATACAATCACTATCAGTATATGTTATCTACTCTTCGTTACCCATTTTTCGATAATAGACTCCCAAATCTACTGTACCTTTTAAGTATCTCAACACCCTTTTTGTAGCTTGCAAATGCAATCCAGTTGAACTTATCATAAATATGCTAATGAGAAATACTACATACATTAAATCCAAGCTTGTTGTAGAAATACTACATACCTTAATATGATGATGTTTTCCATCTTGAACATGTTATATGATGATGAGTGGCATATTGCATCATGTCGTTAGATCGACATAGGACACAACCTAAAACGCATGAAAATGATATTAATATAAATATCCACGAGTATGTGTTACCTAATGTAACAAAGAGATGAAACCAGAGAGTTGTGTCAGAAGAGATGATAAGATGGACGTTAGAGTGACCTCATGCATATTATATGTCCATAAGCATATGAATACTTCCCCTAAAGATGATGAGTGCAGACGTGCACCATACAATGATGAGTGCAAATGTGCACAGTTTGATGATGAGGGTGTTCATGAGGCGCATAACACCAGGGGTTCCCTTGACCTCCGGACGTCACTACAGATTAGCTTGATCAGAGGGTCCAAGGGGTGTGCAAGCGTCCTGGAGATTCACACTCGCACGTGTGAGTCGTGTGTAGGAAAATACTATACATCCAATTTGTCCAAGACTGGAGGCCACCCCTAGATGAGCTAGAGATAGGCCCCTAAATCATGATTGCATGTGTTTGCATTTGCATGGGCAGGCAAGGTGTACTTGTACGGAGAACAGCAGCATCGCGAGCAAAGACTGTGGCACGTGCAAAGGGTAGATCCATATTTAAATTCCTAATATCTTAAATTATTTTGTATTTGTTTTTATTTTCTATATATTTTGTATTTAAACACGTGAGACCATGACTATGTTTTCCAAAGGAGAAAATGTTTTAAATGTTTTCGACATTTATATTAAATATATATTTTCTTTTAAGAGTTATATTTCTACATTAGAGATGAGTATGAGACGTTAGTAGCGACTCTAAGTATATAGAAGTTTAGGTCGCTACCACCTTTATTCAATCTTTATTCAAATATTAAACATTCAAATATGGTTTAATATGATATTTATTGTATAGTACGAAAATTGGAGTTCCCATGCATAGAGATTCCAAAATTTTTATTAAAAATATTATGTAATATAATAAATAAATATATAAATTAAAAATGATAAAAGAGAATATTTAAATTAAAAATCTTTAAACGAAGAAGGGGTAAAACAAAAAATCAAAAGTTTCTTCAGCCATTATTAATATTTTTTTAATTATAAATTTATTTTGACTTTTTTCAATCATGATTTGCTTATATAATCAATAAACTTTTTAAATAATCACAAGATATGAAATAAATAAATTTATATTAATTTTTTAAAAAATGTTGCTTTATTATAACAACTTGCTTCAATAATTATGGTTTCTCCAACAAACTCTTCACCAACTAGGCTGCCTTGGCACTCTTTTAATACAACTATTTTTAAATATTTTATTAAAATAATTTATTTATTAATCTTGTTTTATTATTTAAAAATTGTAACCACCGAAACTTAAAAAATAAGAAAATTGTCCAGCATCGATTAAATTGAGAAAGTGGGGAGTTGGACTCTAACACAAAAGGAAGGTCTCGTATTCTTATTGGGTTGAAACAATTGTCTCGTTTCATCTAACTTTGGCGATTTGGAGTCAATTAGAGTGTGATGTCTCACATTGGTTGAGGAGAAGAACAAACATCATTTATAAAGGTGTGGAAACCTTCCCTTAGCAGACACGTTTTAAAGTCTTGAGGGGAGGGGAAGCCCGAAAGGGAAAACCCAAAGAGAACAATACTGTCAGTGGATCTGGGCCGTTACATAGAGAATCCTTGAGAACCCTAGCAGACACGTTTTATAGCCTTGAGAGAAAGCCCGAAAGGGAAAGCCCAAAGACGACAATATCTGCCCGAGAATCAATGTTCAAACGACTTCAGTTTGGCTTCTCGACTAATCCGACTTGAGTTTGATATGCTTGAATCCTATCCTACCATTTTCAACTCTTTGGGATCAATTTCTGACATTTTTCAAGGTATTTTAGGTAAGCATGAATACTGTTTTGACAATTTACATTATTTTGAGCTAAGTTTAGATTATTTTATGCAATTAGATGAGTTAATTTAAGTTAGCATCAATGGAGCGTAGTGACTTCGGCTTGAGTAGAATTATGATGGTGGAACTTCTCGGGTGAAATTAAATTTCAAAAAAACAGCTTTAAATTAGCATCAATGGAGTGTAGTGGCTTCGGGACAACCAACTAAGTGGTTTTACTGTTAGGTTGGTTGGATAACTTGTAAACTATATGAATGATGCTTGTCTTGTCTCCCCTACATGCGTCATGTTTTATGGGATTGTTTGACTCATGTTATGGTATAGGATGCCTTATGCTATGATACAAGTTCTGTTATATTATAGGTTATATTATGATATGATTTTACTGCATAAACCTCCATATATCACGCCATGTAAACTATGTTAATATAATTACTCTATGCTTATAAGATATTGGTAAGTCCGGTATGTCTCATACGGACACTATGTCATGATAAGGATGAAGGTATAAGTTTTATCATAAGTATATGCTATGTTTTAAAGTTACGGGGACCTCATGCATTTTTTATGTCACATGCATCATAATACTTACCCGTTATGATTTGTACAAATGTGTACACTACAATATTATGCATGTTCTTTCCTTCTATGGCTTCTAGCAGCGTGAGTGTACGCTAGCTAAAGGGCAGACTTAAGGGTATGTATATGAGCCCCCTTGGTAGGTCAATGTATGCGTGTGTAAACCGTGTATAGAGAATTACTACACATCTAATTTCACTCATACGGGAAAGTAGAGACCAAGACCACTATGTTTTATGAAAAGATAGGTCCAGCATGATTGCATGTGGTTGCATTTCA